GAGCTCTCTCCCCCTCGTCACCAGCACTCGTGCTGAAAGTCAAGGCTCACATCTCGGCCGCACGGTCACGCGGTTCCCATGAACCCCCGGGGCGCCTCGTCTGCCCGCGACGTGGGTGCTGGCTGTGCTCGTGGGGGGTTGTGACGGTCGCTGTGCCGTTGGACGTGGGCACCTAGGATGGCACCAGAACTCGGGTCCCCGTGGGAGCAGCGTGACTGGGTGCCTCTCCGTGGACAAGGACCTCTCCGTGCGTTAGGGGTCTGCTCTTCTTTTTTTCTTTTAATTCTCACCTGATATATATATATTTTTTAGACTGAGTGGAAAGGAGGGGGCCGGACGAGAGAGAGGGAGAGAGAGAAACATGGATGTGAGAGAGACGCATCGATTGGCTGCCTCCTGAATGCACCCGACTGGCTGGGGATCGAACCTGCAACCCAGGTGTGTGCCCTTGACCGGGAGTCAAACCCGCGACACTTCAGGGCCGACGCTCTGACCCCCGAGTCACACCGGCCGGGGCTGTGACCTGCATTCCCAGGTCAACGCTCCCTCCTCGCCGTCCCCGACGTCACGTGGTGGCTGCGCCGCTCTGTCCCTCCCCCGAGCAGAGGCTGGCGTTTCAGCATTTTCGGGGCTGCCCATCCAGGTGGCGCCCAGGTTTCCTCTAGAACGTCAGATGCTCCCCCGGATCCCTGCGCGGAGGTATCCTCGCCCACAACGGGCTGTGACAGCCTGTGATTGTTTTACGACTGTGCCCTCGGACGTCCCTCCCCGTCGCCCCCGGACCAGTGTTCCTCGGGCCTCGGTCACGAACTCCAGGATCACAGCAGAAAGGTCAAGTCCCGCGTAGGAAGCACATTCCTGCGCCGGCGCCGGGAAGATAAGCGTGGGAAAGATCGCGTCCCGCCAATAGTGCTGATGCTGATAAAGCGCCACCCCAAGCGTGAGCGCCCGCAGCGGCTTTACTGAAACGAGCGAATTCCAGACAAAGGAATGTGGCGGATGTGGAACTGTTTCTGCTTGAAAACGTGCCCCCAGCACCTTCAAGCCCTCGCTTCCCGTCGGCGCCCCGCAGCCCAGCCCCCCCACAGACCCCGCAGGCTGGGCCGATTTCCTTTGTCCGGCCATCCTGTGCTTTATTTCCCGCCTGGATGGTGCCCTCAGCCCATTTCTGCCATGTTTCTGGAGCAGCGACCACACATCTCTGCGGAGAGGCCCACACTTGGACTGATTGTCAGGGACGCTTTGGGCTAAGGTGACCCTCAGTGACGACGTATGACACTCACGTCCCGTGGGCTGAGCTGAAGTTGGATCCGGAAAACCCACCTGTGCCCTGTGAGGGATTTTCCGAGGACCCTGCTGAGCACAAACGATGGAGCCAGAGTTTAATGTCAGACAGGCTGTTGGAAAGTAGGTGACAGTCATGTCACAAACAATTGTGTCAGCTCTGCACCCGCTGGCCGTAGTGCTCTGACCCCTCTGAGCCTGGCCATAGACGCGACTCCCTTTGGCGGCACTCAGGCCGTCCCCCGTGAGTCCCAAATGCTCTTTTTGGGACTTGTTTGGGTGCCCACTGACTGCAGCTTCTGGGTGTGTCCCTTCCCCTGTGATGCTGACACTTGGGTCTGCCCGCTGGTCTTGCCCAGAGCCTCTGAGACCCACCCCCTCTGTTGGCAGTGGGACGTTTGGGGGGCCAGGCCGGTGACTCCTGGGAGCCGCATATGTGGACAGCTGAGGGCCACAGCCTCGGGTGGGTGGAGGCTGCTGTTTCCTACAGGATTTGGACCTGCTGCCTGGCATCCGCTGTGGCCTCAGCTGTATCTGTGGGGAACCGGGGTCCAGGAAGAGACGCTAAAGCGGGTTGCACACGTGTAGCAAAAGATGGGGCCCAGCACCGCCACGGGACTTGCCGCTCTCGGCGTCCACGGAGTTGTAACGCTCTGTCTCTCTCTGCTCCCCCAGCGCCGACCAGGCCCTCGACAGGTTTGCGATGAAGAAGTATTATGACGATAAAGTGTCGGCATTGATGCAGCCGTCCCAGAAGCGGTACGTATGCCCTCGGGTCAGAGGGGAAGGCGAGTGAGGTTTTCCAGACAGATGGCCCCTGAACTGCAAGAACAGGAGAGGAGGGCTCCTTGGTGCAGCAACGAGCCCCTGCCCCGTATGGGAGGCAGGGCTGCCCCTGCTGGGCACCTGGGCACCTGGGGACCAATGGCACAGTGTAGCCAGTGGATGAGGGGAGGCGTGTGGAGCCCCCTGGCGGCCGGGCTGGGCTGCAGCTGCCGGCCGGCCTCCCTGGTTCCCACCAGGCCTCGGCCACCTTGGGGAGCTTCCTCCGTCTGTTCTGAAAGAGCAGAGGGGCCGCTTGCCGCCCGGACGGTGGACATACTAGGAGAGGGACCTCCGTGGAAGCCCGTGTTCTTTGCAGCATTTTCCTATAGAGGGTGGACTAAAAGTAGGGTTTTTAAACTCTGTTTTTAGTGTTTACCAGAAATATCTGGCTGTTCCGTTTGCTTTGTACACACATTCAGCAGCTTGTGTGAACTGCAGGCTTAAATTAGAGACTTTTTAAAATACAAGTGAGGCTGAGCCTGCTGGTAGTTCAGTCCAAGGGCAGCCCGGCCTTGGCCGGGGGCGTGGCCTGAGGCACAGTCACGGGGTTCAGTAAGCGCCGCCCCGTCCTGCTTCTGCTCCTCCCACTTAGGCCCTTGGAGACAAGGCCTCGGACACCCAGATATTGTGGGGGTTTCCTTTTGCTTGGAGTCAGGCTCCCCCGGAGGAGGGAGAGCACGAGAGAACCCGATGGGCTGCGCCCCGTCTCCGGCCCTGCCGCCACCTCGTGCCCCAGGACCCAGCGAGGAGACGTCCCACTTAGAGCCTTCCCCCTGAGGGCCACGGCCGCGTGCAGGGCATCACCGGGACGCACGAGGCTGCCTGCGTCTGGGCTCATCCCCTTCTCGGCCCCCCGCGGGCGTGGGCAGCGAGGGTCCGACCCAGAGCGTTCAGGTGCCTGTTCTCTGCAGGTACGTCCAGTTCCTCAGCGGGCTGCTGTCGGGGACGGTGAAGATGAACGCCTCGCCCCTGTTCCTGCATTTTGTCATCCTGCATGGCACCCCCAACTTTGACACAGGCGGGGGTGAGTGTCCCACAGGGCGGGGCTGAGATTCCCTGCCCCTGCCCTGGGCGGGTGTCCTGTCCATCCTGAGAGGCCCAGGCCCTCCTGGTCACTGACTGGACAAAGCCACCTGTGTGTGGTGAGACCACTTATCGGGAAGGACACACAGCCAGGGAGGGGACCCCAGTGTCCCTCACGCTGCTGCCTGACTCCGGCATTGCGTCCCCAACCTAGAAGGCAGCATGTGGGCTCCTGTCTCACGCACCTTTCTCTCTCTCTCTCACCCTCCAGACGGTTCCATGTGGTTCCACGTGGTTTCTGTGTGGTTCCACGTGGTTCTGTGTGGTTCCACGTGGTCCTGCGTGGTCCCACAGGGTTCCACGTGGTTTTGTGTGGTTCCACAGGGTTCCACGTGGTTTCTGTGTGGTTCCACGTGGTTCTGCGTGGGTCCACAGGTTCCACGTGGTTCTGCATGGTTCCCCACACTCACAGACCATTCGACCTCTCTCTCTCAGTGTGCCGGCCCTTCCTGAAGCTCTACCAGGCCATGCAGCCCGTCTACACATCAGGGATCTAGTAAGTGTGTTTGCTTCGTGGACTCGAGCTGGGAAGTGGTGCAGCCTGGGCGGCTCTCCCGTGGGAGCGGCGAGGGGCCAAGCAGAGGATGCCCGTGGCCGGTGCTCCTCGGTGGCTTGTGCCTGCGTCCCAGCCCAGCTTTGCTGCCGTCACACCTGACTGGCCGTCACACTGTCACAGGGGAGCATGGACGCTGGGGCCCAGAGGGCGGGGCGCCATGTGCTGTCGGGAAGGGAGCAGGACAGTCCTTTCTGGTCGGGCTTTCTCTGCCTTTTGCATTTGAGAGAAGGGTAGATACACGTTCTTAGAACTTGTACGAGTTCCTGAGCTTTTTCGGGGCTGGGCTAGTAAGCATTTTATGAACATTAATGGGAAATGAGTAGAGGTAAGAAGTGTGCTCACCGCTCAGAACTAGCCGCTGTCACGTTTCCAGACTCACGGTGGACGCACACGGTGGCATTGCCCCTCCGCTAATCGCAGAGGCTGGGGCACGCTCGCCCCGTATCCCTGCCCCTTGGCCCCCCAGCAGCCCCGGGTGGCCCTCAGCCCCTGCCTGGCCGGCAGCTTTCCACTCCTTCTGACTCTTTTCCACGAAGATTTTCAGGAGCTGGATCCAGGCCCCTCAGGATATTTTGTGCAACTTCCGAGTTTTCAGTTGTCTAGTTGCTTTTCTCAAATGCGCTCTTCCCGTGAAGTCCCGATGACCTAACGATCCGTCTCCTGTGTGTCCCACAGCAACGTCGGCCCCGAAAACCAGAGCCGGATCTACATCGCCATAGAGCCGGCCCAGCTCCTGAAAGGGGACATCATGGTGAGTGTTCCCCTCGTCCCTGCACCAGCCACCCCTCCACAGGGGAATGTCACCTTAAAACAGTGACATCGACCCCTTGCCCCCAAAACCTGTACAATGGGGGGGAGTAGCCTTTATTTTAAGGCAGTTGATTCATCTGAGTGAAGCTACTTTCACAAAAGGGGCAGAGCGCGCCACGGCCACTCGATGTGTGTCAGCCACTGCTCCCGGTGGGCCACGTCACTGCCACTTAGTCCATGTCAGCCACTGCGCTCGCCCTGGGCCACGTTCACAGCCATTCGACGCATGTCAGCTGCTCTGCTCCCAGGGGTCACATTCCCTGTCCCTGAGGTGAAGCCTCTAGTGACCAGAGACCTTTCCGGGAAGGTGTGGATGTAAAATGTGTACTGTCATTAGCAGCCGAGTGTGAAGCGCAGCGGTGTCGCTGCAGGCTGGCTGGTGACCAGACGCTGATTTCTCAAGAGAGTTCTGGTTCCTGGGCGCTGGTACCCGGGTGAGGTTAGCTGCACCGTCTTTGCCTTTTATGTCTCTTGACTGTAGAAAACTTCATATATTTACGGTAATTCTAGGAGACGTGTGCATAGCTTAACTTTCGTGGAGCCTTTGCGTGGCCCAGGACACGCTGTGGCAGGAAGGTGACACCCACACCCTGGGCACACCCACACCCTGGGCACATCCACACTCTGGGCACACTCACACAGTTGGCTTTTCGTTTTATTACAAATGGTTCATTCAAAGTTTTTGAGGATTTTAAATAATTTCCCTAAAAATTTGGGTTTTAAAAACCTTTCCTAGCAGTTAGTGAACTCCCATCTCATCCCACCTGAATCCTCACGAAATCAAGTCAGTGGGGTTTAGGAAGACACAGATCTCTGGGCACACTGGGCACACCCACACCCTGGGCACACCCACACCCTGGGCACACTCACACTTTGGGGACACTGACACCTTGGGCACACCCACAGCCTGGGCACACCCACACCTTGGGCACACCTACACCCTGGGCACACGTATGCCCTGGGCATACCCATATGCTGAGCACACCCTGAGCACACACCCCGCAGGCACACCCACACCCTGGGCACAGTTGTTCAGGGAGCAGCCCTCCAGCTGCTCCCAGGGCCTTGGGTCTGTGTCCAGCCTCCCTGTCGCTGGGGGAGGGTCTGCAGGTCCCGAGGGTGCACAGGGAGAACGAGAGGCGGTGAGAGCAGCGAGGGGGTCCTGACCTTCTCAAGGCCTCACACTGAGCCCTCCCCATCCTCCCAACCGCCCTCCACAACAGCTCTGATGCCCCGTTTCACAGGTGGGACTCCTGAGGGGTGGTCCCATCTTCATAAACCCAGGTTCTCAGCCACCCACGCAGCGGGGACGGGAGGCGAGGCTGCTCGTGGCTGGTTTTCTTAGGAGCAGCCTGTGGGCCTTGTCCCCTTGGTCGTGGGGGGGGGGGATGGGCTCGTCCACCTGCCGCATGCAGCCCGGGCCAGTCTCCCAGGGAGCCCTGGGATTGCTGGGCACCGGGCCCTGCATTAACTGGGTACCTGCTGTGTTCCGGGCACCGACCAGACTGCATGTGGCGAGTCCAGCTCTAATCTGCCACCAGCCCCGTGCTGGCTCTGTGACTCCAGCTTTAAAAGGAGGCGAGGCCCGGAGAGGCTGGTGCAGCTGCTGTTTAGGACAGGGGTGCCGAGTGCCCCCTCGCCTGGTCACCTGCAGGGAGAGGGCTTCCAGTCGGCCCCTCCGGACTGGGTGCCACAGTTAGCGGCACGTAGTTGTGGCAAAGACGTGGAGTGGACAGTCACCCTGGTGTGTGCGGCTGGTGACTGCAGGGTCTTTGCAAGGTGGGGGGGTGTTCAGTCCACAGGTCGGGACGCTTTGTCTGCCCCTCCACAGTCCCCTCCCTCCCTCTCTCCCGCCTTCCTCTCCTGTCACTTTATTTAACCAGTGGCCCTTGTGTGAATCTGTCAAGCGTCCGTAGTCTCTGTGAGGAGCTGGTAGGAAAGGGGGCC